GGATTGATTCAGTGACTGGGGTAATTGGGATGGGAGTGTCGGAGACAGTGCGATTGGCATGGGATAGAGCACGGTTTAGGGCTGTTGTATATAGGGTCGCTATGAGTCGCAAACGACTCAACGGCACATAACAACAACAACAAAGATGTTTTCTAAATTAAGGTGGGATAAATTCAGGACTGTGTTCTATCTCTCATGGGCTTGTTTACATTTTATTCAGTGTAGGGTTGAACTTGGGGATGAGGAGCATCTGGTGATGATTGGGGATGAGAAGTGGTCTGATCCCCAGCTGGCCCCTGCTCTGTTTCTGACAGCTGAGCTTGAGCTTCTCCACTGCCAATACCTGCACTTGTTTCCTTTGTAAGTTTCAGAGTGATATTTTGCTTTCAAATCTGAATATGTCTAGAGCTGGTCTGAGCCTTTTCAGGTCCAGGAAAGACAGGGTGAAGGGCCTCACTCAGACCTTGGACTCCAGTGATAATTTGAGAAAGACTGAGGAAGAAAACAGATCCACAGCCTTGTTTTTGGTGACACCAAGGCCATGGATAAGCCAAGCAAGAAGACAGGATATAGCAAGACAGTGTGGAGGGCACAGGGTGGAGCAGGAGGAGGACAGTCCAAATGAGGGGAGGACCTCCATGGCAATGGAAGTCTCCTGAGGGTAGAGAAGCTGTGGAGGATAGGGCAGTGGAGGATGGGGCACTGGGCGATAGGGAAAGGGTCAGGGGGAGATGAGGCAATGGGGGGAATGAAGCAGTGGGGGGATGGGGTGGGGGGAGATGGGACACTGGTGGACAGGGTAGTGGAAGGATGGGGCAATGGGGAGACAGGGAACTGGTGGTTAGGACAGTGTGGGCTTGGGAAGCGAGGATACTGAACAGTGCAGAGATGAAATAGTGGGAGATGGGTCACTGGCAGAAGGGCAGTGGGGGATGGATCAGTTGGGGGACTGGACAACGGAGGGATGGGGAAGTGGGGGACAGGGCAATGGGGGACAGAACAGTGGGAGGACAGGGCAGTGGGAGGATTGGAGAGAAGGAGGATGGGACAGAAGGGGTTTGAGGCAGTGAGAGAGAGAGCGCGTTGGTGTTCAGGGCAGTGGAGGAAATGGGGAAGTGAGAAGAATGGGAAAGTGGGGAACAGGACAGTGGGGGACTGGACAATGGGGGGAACAGGGAAGTATGTCCCAGTAGGGGTGTGGCTCTGATGTGAGTGTAGGCATAGCATGCTCATGGGTGTGGTAATGTGGGATGAAGACAGTATGGACCCTGTTCCTAGTATGTTCCCTGCTCTGTTCTGTCCAAGGTGACTGGAGAGTGCAGGGATGGAATGTGGACAAGAGGGGCATTGTACTACACCATGACAACTGTGGAAGCACTAGGGGTGTGGTGGGCACAGTGGGTTGTGACAGAGCGAAGAAGGTGAAGTTAGAAGAGATTATATGGGAGATTATAGTCTGAATCTTAACAGCAACAACCTTGCGTCTGAGGCTGCCGCTGAGGTGGACAAGAATGAGGTTGATGACACACTGGACTTCGGGGACCCTGAGTATAAAGGCCAGGATTCTGTGGATCTTCTGGACCTAAATCCCCAAGATGAGGATGATGTCCAGCTGGAGCTGGAGAGCCCCCTCAAGGGGGAGCCTGAGCAGGAAGTCACTGGGACACAGGATCAGGATGAGATCCTTTCCCATCTGCAGAGTGTCCAGGACAAGGACTTGGAGGAGGGGAAGATGCCTGAAGTGAGGTAAGTAGGCAGATAGTGAGGATCAGTATTGGGGTGGTGGCTTGGACACTGGGGGTCATGGCAGTGGATGGACAGGGTGATGGGAGATGGGGCAGAGGGGGAACAGGACAGTGGGAAATGGGGCAATGGTGGAATGGGGTAATGGTGAGATAGGGCAGGTGGAGGATGGGACAATGAGATGGAGCAGTGAGGGACAGGGCAGTGGAAGAGGAGGACAGTGGGGAATGGGACAATGTGGGTGCTGGGGTAGTTAGTGATAGGGCAGTGGAGGTGTGGGTCAGTGAGGGGATCAGTGAGAGGATGGGGCAGGGGTGTGGGTCAGTGAGGAGAAAAAGTGGTGGGGGAATAGGGCCGTGCAGCAGGGCAGCAGGGTAGAGTGAGGCAGTGGAGTGCCACAGGGTGTGGTGGAGTACAATGATATATAGTGAGGCATAGTGGTGTGTAGTAGGGTACAGTGAGGATGGTGGGGTGTAGAGGGGTACGACGGTACAGTGGGGCACGATGTGGTACATTGGTGAACAGTGAGGTATGGAGTGATACAGTGGGGTATGATGAGATAGATACAGCAGGGTATAGAGGAATACAGTGAGTGGTGTGGTACATTGGTATACCATGGCGTGTGATGGGATACAATGGGGTATGGTGGAATATAGCAGGGTACAGTAGGGTTATGACAGAGTCTAGTGTGGTACAGTGGGGTATAGTGGGACACAGTAGGTTATAGTGGTGTATGGTGGGGTACAGTGGGGTATGATAGTAGAATGTTGTACATTGGGGTATGGTGGGGAAGGGCAAGGGTACAATGGGGTGCGTGGGGGTACGGTAGGGTATGACAGAGTACAGGGAAGTCCAGCAGGGTACAATAGGGTGTGGTGAGGTCCAGTGGGATAGGACAAAGCACAGTGTGGTTGTACAGGGAGTACAGTAGAGTACAATGGGGTATGGTGGGGTACATTGATGTACAGTGGAGTATGGTGGGATATAAGAAAGTACATCAGGTTCTGGTGGGGTACAGCAAGATGTAGAGGGGTACAGTGAGAGCAGAGCAGCATCTTAACATCTGTCACTATCATCTGCATTGCTTGATGCTAGGAGGGGGCTGAGCTACCCCCTGGGGTCCAAGTGAGGTTCTGGGAGTCAAGGTGGTGGGCTGGATTGACAGATCCCCACTGGGCTTTGAGGCAAAAGTTGGGGAACACAGCCCACCCATAGATGGCCGGTGGTGGGATCTGCAGATTTCAGACATCTGGGGACATGTCAGGAGTAAAGGTTTGGGAAATGTTAGCAAGGTGGTCAGCAACCTTATTCACCATTGCCACAACCTGGGGGGATGATCAGTCTCCTGTCCACCTTAGGATGGAGAAGCCAAAAGTCAGACAGGTGACTTGGCTACACTCACACACCTAGGTCCTCATGACTCCCAAATTCTGCCCCAAAGAGGCATCTTTGAAGGGGGAGGGAGACCAAGGCTCTGGGCTCCCTGATACGTTGGGGTGTAAACACTGCTCTAGCCCAGACTGGTTTTCCTCAAGCCGACTGTCCATCAGCCAAGAGTTGCCAGTGCCCAGAGGCAAAAAGAAGAAAAGAAGAATCTTCGATTTGGCAAGACCCAAGACCAACCGGCAAATGTTGACAGACAGGTGAGGGGATAGGAATGCCAGCTATGGGGCTTAGGGCACAAAGTGAGGAAGCCTCTGGGGACCCCTCTGTACCTTCCCAGGGACCCCAGCCTAGCGTTAGTCCAGAGAGTTAAGAAGGATTCTGGGGAAGAGTGAGCAGTCAGGACACTGGAGGCGGGGCCCCTTGGGGCAGGGCCCCTGGTGGACACCCTGGAAATTTGGGGAGTGTGGGCCAAGGTATAGTCTCAGAGCAGTGGGGGCTGGACCTTCTCATCGCAGGGTGGGCTGCTGTCAGGGCTATGCCTGGATTTCCCCCTGCAAGATGACCTTGCATTTCTCTGTCTTCTGGTAAGTCTTGTCTCTGTTGCATGGGTGGATGGGCCAGGTGTCCAGAGCCCTTGCTGGAGCCCCTTTGTCCTCTTTCACAGAAAAGGAAGGGACTCACTTATATAAGTCTCATTCTTGGTTATACCTTGCCCTCCGCCCTGGAACAGGCTGTGTTCCCTATAATATACACTCCACCATCTTCTCCGCCCTGACCCCTGCAGACGGAGTGGCTCTCTGTTCCCGACTGTTTGTGGGTGGGGCATCCTAAGCTTCTGTTTCTGAGCAGGGCTCCCTCCAGCACCTTCCTCCTGCTGAGCCATGCCTGGTATATTCCAGGCCATCCATCTACTGGACGGAAAGATTTCTAGAAGACACTACCCTGTCCATCACTGTGCCAGGTAAGGAGAGTCTAGGAAGGGGGCCTCGCACCTCCATCCTGGGACCAGCCTGGTTGCTGGGGCCTTAGAGGATCTTCACACCTGCCATCTCTGAGAGTCTCTGCCCTATCTCTCAGGGGCCCCTGTGTCCCTGTGTTCCAGCATTCCGTGCTCTCACCTCTCAATGGTCTCTACCTGCATCTCACAACCCTGTCTGCACTTGATTTCCTGTGGGTTTCCATAGAGGAACACATTTCCAAGGGCCCCCTGTCTGAACCCTTCCTGTGCAAGGGGGTGGGTGCATTTCCCTCAGTTGAAGTGGGGTGAGAGTTTACACAAAGCCGCTTGCTTTCCCTCTACTAAAATACCCCACCTGTTACAGCTTTGGCTCCTTGCCTTCAGTCAAAGGAAATGTGTTATCTGTGGGGAGAAATGGTAGTGGTACCTGTGCTGAGCACCCCTAATTCCAGAAAAAGTCACTGTACCTTCTCTGGCCTCTAGTTTGTCTCCTGCATCCACTCTGGACCCTCTTCCCATGTTGGGTTCTGCTTTCACTACACAGCTTGCTCCGACCTTGGACCCTGCTATCACCCTGGGCCTTCATACCCAACCCAGGTCCCCATTCCCACCACACTCAATCTATAGACCACACTTCATCTTGGACCATGTTCTCACTATGGTACACAATTTACTTCAGGTTCCATTTGTACACTGGGCACACTTCTACCACGGGCCACATTTCAGCCCACTAGGGAATATATTTCTACCTTGGCTTTCAGACACGATATGGCTCATACTCCAACCATGAATCATTCTCTCACACTGAGATCTGGTCCAACCATGGACCAGCTTCCTAATATGGGAAATACTCCATTCATGGGCCATCCCCCTCCATCCACTACACTCTCATCAAGGACTGCACTATCTTCAAGGGCCACACACTGCCAAGGACAACACTCTCACATGGACCATATTGCCACCTTGGATCACATTCTTACCATAGACCACACTCCATCCATGGACCACACTCCCACCATGGACCACACTCCCTCCAGGGACCACACTCCCTCCAGGGACCACACTCCCACCA